CGGAATATGATGGGTCGCAGTACTACGAGTACCGTGAAAGATATTTAGTTAATGATGTCATTTGTATCGTCTGAGACGCAGCGACGAGAAATACTCTGCTGAAAAATGTTCAGAGAATGCTGTAATTACCTTTTAACTCTGAGTACTAGATGAAGAAATTATGCACTTATGGCAGCGAAAGCTTTAAGAACACGACAATAAAACACTTAGGACTGGTCCCTATTTGTATCTGCCATTGAAGTATAAACATACCCAGGTGTTAATTCTTTTTCAATATTCAATTAATGCAAAGGAGGTTAAAAAAATTTTAAATGCAAATTGGTACAGTAAGCAGTACTGTAGACTAGCGCGATTCTTCATACGATGTTTTCTGTTTTTTTTTAATTTAAATATTTTTAAAATTCAATAAAGTAATTTTCGTATTTATTTATTATTTTTTAACAATTATTTTTACAATCATCGATTTACAAAGTTTATTTATTTATTTTAACAATTTTTTAAAACAAAAATTGACATTTGCAAAATTACTCTGATTCGTAGAGATTGATTTTTCAAAAATTTGTTTAAAGAGACGAATTTGTTTAAAGTAATACTACATAATAATAAAATATTGAGAATAAGAATTACATAAACCGCTTTTAGTTAATATACTTTTTATAGATTTTAATAAAATTTAAAAAGTTTACATGTTGTATAACTGACATACCTCTTCGCGTAAATGAACTCTTCCAACTGTTGACAGCACCTTACCTGATCTTTAACGTGAACTAGGTCTTAAAAATTGAATGAATGCATCTTCAACTATTTCGTGACGCCGTGTTGTGGTGCTACTTCCGTGACGCTCACCTCAGTGTTTTACGATAGAAAAATGTAATACAATGCCAGTATAGAAGTTTCGCTTAAAAAATCATAAATAAAAAACAAAGGAGTAAAATTAATGAAATCATTATAAAAACAAGAAAATTTTGAAATATCCTTCTTCTTCTTCTTCTTCTTCTTCTTCTTCAAGTTCCCCTCCTATCGGAGATTGGAAATCATACTGGCAATTATAATTTTGTTGGCTACGCGCCTGAATGGTTCAATTGAACTGCATCCAAACCATTCAGGAGATTGCGTAGCCCCGAGATTTTACGTCTTCCTACGCTTCTTCTGCTTTTGATTTTACCCTGCATTATATTTCTTGGTAGTTCGTATTTTTCACTTCTCATGAAATATCCCATTTACTTGCAATTTTGATGAGTGATTGATGCAAATTTTTTTTAATCAGCACAAGCAATATATGCCACTTAACTTAATGTTTATCGAGATAAATTTTCCAAACCACTATAAATAACAGAAAAAACATTCGTACTAAAACCCTACGAGCACGTATTCCACCTACTAAAATGTCAAAGTTTGATGTCAAATTTGACATGTCACAATATGGTCACCATGTTACCATATTTGAATGTGATTCATCTATTATCATATTATTGTAATCATTACTTTAATGGGAATAAGCCACAATTGAATTTAAAAATAAGTTGATTTAAGAATAAGTCAATTTCCACTTCGGAAATCGTTCTCAAAATACAAGCAATAATAAATTAAACAAATCTTGTTACTTGGTGACAAGTTCTTTTAATAATTTAATTTCACCTGACTCAGGTGAAAGCCGAATTTAAAACCTCAACCATTTCAACTGTACATAAAAAGGGAAACAAACAAAATTGCGACAATTACCGTGGAATAGCAGTTACTAGTACCATTAGTAAAATCTATGGGAAAATGATCAAAAATAGAATAGAAAGAGAATACACTGATATGGAGGCAGAAGAACAGGCGGGTTTTAGAGCTGGTAGATCGACCATAGACCACCTTTTTTGTATCACCCAACTTATAGAAAAAAAGGTTGCTGTAGATCAAGAAGTCCACTTTTTGTTTGTTGATCTAAAAAAGGCCTACGATAGCATCCCTCAAAATAAGTTATGGAACACTCTCAGACAAACGAACATCAACTCAAATCTCATAACAGCAGTGGAAAAACTATATGAGGACGCCAACGCCAAAGTTAAAATAGGAACGAATGTTTCCAAAGGTTTTGTAGTAGACAAAGGACTGAAGCAGGGATGCTGCTTAGCGCCGACACTTTTCAAAATATATCTGGAACAAGCATTAAAACTCTGGAAGCGGAAATGCAGCGGCATGGGTATACAATTAAACAATAACAACCTGTACACTCTATGTTTTGCTGATGATCAAATTGTGATTGCTAACGAATATGACGACCTAGAATATATGACTCGAAAATTAATCGAAGAATACAAAAAATGGGGATTAGAAGTCAACATAGATAAAACAATGTACATGAACATCGGTGGTAAAGAACAAAATCTAGTTTTAAACGACGGACAACACATTAAGTACAACAATAAATATTCCTATTTAGGAGTAGAAATCACAGACGACGACAAATCAGATCAGGCTATAAAAAAACGAAACACTCAGGGTAGAAGGGCCATATCTCAACTAAATAGTATTATCTGGGATCAACATATATCCAAAAAAAATAAACATCGAATATACAACACTATTATAAAGAGCATAGTAATGTATGGAAGTGACGTGTGGCAGTTAAAGGCAACTACTGAAAGAACACTACAAGCCACGGAGATGGACTACTGGAGACGGGCCGCAGGAAAATCAAAACTCGAAAGAATTAATAACGAACGTATACGAGAGGTTATGGGAGTCACACATACGATTGTCGAAGATATAAGAGTACAACAACTAAAGTGGTATGGACATGTGCAGAGAATGCCAGAACATCGTCTGCCCAAACAGATTATAGATTGGTCACCACATGGAAAGAGAAAAAGAGGCCGACCCAGAAAGAGCTGGGGAGAAGGAATAGACAGAGAGATCCGAGAGAGAGGTTTAGACGAAGATCTTTGGGAAGATAGAGATGCATGGAGATTGGGCATCGGAAGACGTCGGAGGACGTTTTAAACCGATTATATATATATATATTTCACCTGACTCATTTATACTGATAATTCAGACATATATTATACATTTTAAAGTAGACGATTTTAAAATGATATTACCAATAATGCTGAGTTGCGTTCCTGGGGCGACTTTATTGCAAGATAGTTCTTTCGATTTTATAAAATCAACTTTAACGTGAGAGTATCCCTCATATTTAATCATAGCATGTCATTCATATTTAAAACGACAACCACCTACCATGATGACAGTAAAATTCTCCTTATAATTAATTCGATAATCGTTTGGATAATCGATTCGATATTAGATATCTCTAAACATCAAGAAAAGACTAAGAAGGCTAGTAACATAACAAATAATAAGGTATTTTTGGCAGGTTTTTGGAAGGAATTGTTTCGAAGCGAAAAGCTTGCTATACAAACGAAAGTCGAAGGTAAAGAAGATAAAGACAGATCATCTAGACAGAAGATGATAGGAAACTTATAATTTATTTGAATGTAGTCTGCATAAAGGTATATTTGACAACGATAAGTGGATCCTATCGTATGGGTACATTTTTTGTAGATTTTTTATAGACAAAACAGTAACGAATCAAGTGCTAATCCCTGGGTAACTCTAGATTTAATATCTAAAAAATTGCAATATTTTCAAATCATGCTATCTGTACAATTGCTACATGTAATAAACAAAAAGAGATATAAAGAAAGAAATTACACCAAAATGTTTTAAATTTTGTTTATTTTTTTCTTATAGCAAAATATATAAAAATTTGTTTAATCAGACATTCAAACAGTGATACAAGACCCAAGTTATGGCAGCAAGAAAATAGAGAAAGAGTTGAAAACCACTAGATCTTCCTACCAATATCAACAAGCCACGTCCAAGACTCAATCAAAGATAGCATCTTCATCTTAATATTCAGATTCAAACGAATCAATTAAATATATTTTACGCTAATTACAATATGAATTTAATAGTGGCATCGGTAGATAGAATCCAAGGCGTAACCTCTGATGGGTCTTAAAGGAGACTGATTGACATGTACATTTTAAATTTCAAAAAGAAACGGGGGCGACTGCCAAAGAAGAAGCTCACGAACTAAATGTGTATATGTCTATAATCTGATAAAGGATTACCGTCTAAAGTAACGGCAAACAGGGTGTGACGTACAAATTAAATGAAATATGTAGCAGTTGGTAAAAATTAAGAAACACACTAATTTTTTTATAACTTAGTATCACTACAGCTATTCTGGCAGAGTGACTTTCTCAAGTGATATATTTGTGGTACGTGTTTACACTTTATAATCTTTAACTGAATAAGTTAAGGAGGGGAGAACTGTTTGTTACAAGTTTATCATTTAGAATTATATCTGTATTATTTAATTGGTTAATTTCCATAGATTTTTATAAAGATAGCTTAAGGCCTTTATTTTAAATGTGAACAATTTGAAATTGGTGATTAAAAGAATTATTATAATCTAGAAGGTGAAGTGCGTACGTACAAACTGTTTTTCTATTATGGAAAGCCCTTTTGTGGTCTGATATACGTTTTTTTAAGTTCTACCAATTTGACCGATGTAAGTTTTACACCACATTAAATATGTTTGTATACACCACTGTGTAAGTACATTTTCTTTTGGCTCTTGTTCTTATAAGTTGTTGTTTGTTTTTATAACTGGTGTTTCTTCTTTCTTTTTTATGTGTTCTTCTATTTTTGTTGATTTATTTCCTGTATATGTAGTCCAGCAGAAGGTACTGCGTTTTTTTTTCTGATGGTTGAAATAATAATTTCAGTGCTTTCTTATGTAATTTTGTTTTAAAATTTTGTTTATTATTTTCAACAAGTTAAACAGTTTTTTTTTTAAACTGTTACTACAGTTGATGAATATCATAACACGGCTTCAATCCTGTTAAAAAACGAATAACAGAAACAAACATAAAATTCCGCAGATGTATACTAAAACTTAAATAAAAGATAAATATGATGATTAGATAAAAAACATCTTAACTTACCTTTATATGTGTCATGCGGTGGTAGTATAAGTTCGATGACGCTGTGAATCGTTTTAGACATACAGGACATTGATGTGGCTTCTCTCCGCTATGTATCCTTCGATGTGTATTTAAAGAAGATGATGTACTAAATCCTTTTCCACATACCATGCACACGTGAGGCTTTTCTCCTGCAAGAAAATAAATAATTAAATAAATAAAAATATTATTCAATATAAGGTTGAATGTTCGAATAATTAAACTTTGAGGGTACACAAGGCAACTATCGAACACGGTGATTAATTTAATCTTGCCCAAGTACTTTCGATCAATAGATCATCTACAGGGGCATCTGAAATAAGCCAAGAAACGTTTTTTATAAAAAAGAAAAATTAATTCACTTGGATAAAAAACTCCAAGTTTATGGTTGAAAAAATTTTATATGTGATAAACGTTTATAGACTTACTTCGTCAGTTGTGGCCTATCCGACATGAGTAGAATGTCATAAAAGTAAAATTTGGACATAACAATACAAAATACAATACTCAAAGACAAACAAACACTTTAAAATTTTAAGGAGAAGCTACATGTTGTATAGAAGTCGGAGACAGAATGGGCTCCCGGTCTGACGGAAATATTGAGATGACATGTGACAAATGAAAGCTTGTGAAGGGCAGTTATGTGGTCTGTACCTTTCAAAATTCTATGAAACTAAGTATTGACCAAAGGTCCAACTGACACCACTATAGGAAATCAACTGATGAAATATAAAATTATATAGTATATTTTTTATGTAGATTGAATAATCCCAATCTCACACTCAAACCTGTCTATAATAATTAGGATGTTAGTTTGAGAGTAATTGAAGTTGACATAAAGTATGAATGTAAGAAAAGACTAGCAATATATTAGACAGTGGATGGTTGACTACAATAAAATGGTCCACCAAGCGCTATCAGTACTGTAAAAAAGAAAAATCTGAATATGCAGTTAAATTACTAAAATTTAAAATCAAAATTGAAGACAAAATATATAAAAGGGTTATAATCCAAGTAGTTCAGTTGAATCCACAGTCAATGGAAGAACTTTAAAATTAATATTGAAATGCTCAGTGCATGAAGTCTAAACAGTCGAGTTGGATCCTCTACGAGGTGAAGCTGTAATAAACTTTTTAAATATAGGATTAAATTTAGTACCATTTAAATTAATTTGAGTATTAAGACAGTGAGAGTTTTCATTTGTTTCCCTTGTAATCTCCAAATCTTCCAATAAATCCAACTCAAGATAGTTTTTCTTTCTGCTAATGTCATGTAAGATAGATGAACCAGAATTGATGTTAAAATTGTGGTTGCTGGATACTAAGTGTTGACCAAAACTTGAAGAATTTGGTCTTTTCAAATGTTCAGAGACTCTAGTGGATAACTTTCTGATGGTTCTACCTACATAAGAGGCATCACAATCATCACATTTTAATTTGTAAATACCACTTTTATCAAGTGTATTCATCCTATCTTTGGTATTGATTAAGAAGGAACCTAAAGTGTTATGTGATTTTTATGAAGGAAATTTTGATGTTATCAATTGTAGAAGTAAAAAGTTTAGATATTTTATTGGAAATGCTACTAATATAAGTGAAGGAGAAATATCTGATGTTATCTGAAGCATTCGGTTGAAAAAACTGTGAAGAATATGCTTTTCTGCAATTTTAGCTAAACTAAAAATTATAATCTTGGGCTCATGCATTCAAACGTGTAAGAACTAAAGCTGGCTATAGCTAGTATTACAATCAAAAATAAAAGAAAATAATAAAAAAAGTCTCTTAATGGCAGACATAATATTCAATGTCTATTTACGTTGTAACAAGATAAACTAAGATCAAATTTACAAACATTTTCTTGACTACTTCACTTATATTAATACCACATACGTAAACTTTTATTTTCAAATTAGCAGCACACTTTTTATATACCTCAGGTTAAAGTATTTGATTTCCTGGTGTACGTATCATATTAATTAATTTTTCATCAATAATTACAGCTTTCATCTAAGTTTCATAAGTTGCTAAACGCTTTTTAATAAACCTGAAAAAACTTAAATCGTGTGTTGCATGTTAAAAAACAAAGCGAGGATGGTAATTATTATTAATCTTAATAAAAAAGTACATAGGTGTTCTTTAAGTCTAAATTAAGATCAGATGTTAATGGTAAAAAAATTGGTGTGTCCTATCGAGGTTGGTGGATTTGAATTACGTAATTAGTCCATGTTTTCAAGGTCAGAGATGTTTATAACAATTTTATACACAACAATTTAAAATGACGACGTTTTGTTATTAGTAAATGGGTATTTGGAATCAGACGTATTCATGTAATAAAAATAACTGAAGTATATCTTTCACGTTTTCAATTGTACAATATCTTCGTTTTCCGCAATTTCTTTCTTGCCTCGTATGTATCTTGGTCAGATCACAGTTGGGACTGTATCCTGTCTCCTACTTTGTTCAATTTGTATTCAGAGGAAATAATCCAGGAAGCACTGGAAGAACTAACTATGGAAATAAAAGAAAATGGCCGACCAATCAATAATATACGGTTTACCGACGACACTATTTTATTAGCGGAATGACTTGAGAATTTACAAAGAATGGTTGACAGAATGGTAGAAGTTAAGTATGAAGTAAAACCTAAACACAAAAAAGACACAATTTATGGTAATTACAAAAGCCCAACAGCGCCAAGAAAACATAACAATACATGGAGAACAAATTAAAAAAGTTGAAAAATATAAATATCTGGGTACTAGTGTTGCCCAAAATCGGTCTTGGTCTTGCAGTCTTGGTCTTGTTCTTGCGTTTTTGCAAGACCGAGACCAAGACCAAGACTGCCTAATTTTTGCAAGACTCTTGCGTCTTGAAGTTAGGACTGAGTGTGGTTTGAAGGAGTATAATAGTTCGGGTTTATGCTTAGAGACTCTATGAGACGCAAAGAAGTATTACCAAAAATTTGGAAAATTTGACTTGTGCATTACGAAAAATAGCATAAACATACATAGCGAATCAAAATATTCATTACAAGAACACTTAAAAATTTGACACGTACTCGTCATAATTACAATCTAAAAATAAAATATTTTGTACATTCTTTCCCAGCACACTACTTCTTCACTCTGAAATTAATTGTCCAGATTTTGAGAATAGCCCTTTCTTATAATAAAATAATATCTTTGCTTTCAATCTTGTATCACCTTAGCTGATAAAAAATATAATTAGGTTAGCATATTTTTTTCCTTATAATTTAGTTACGAGGAATTTAAATACCACAAATCTTATCGGCTAAGACTAAACATCTTTTTTGCTGAGTATGCGATGATACCATTCAAAATATGCTGAACGAATGAGGCTAATATTCAAAAGTAACGAGATAAACAAACAAAGAGATAATACCGATTACAGTGTAAACAAAATACCGATATATTAAAAGTAACGAAGTAACGATAATAATTCTCGGTTTTTTATTCGGTACCAGATACATACAAGATCTATTAAATACCTTAGCATTATACAGTAAAACTGACAATGAAACGGACAATTGAACGATTTTAACATCGCAGATAGTGAATGGCAAACACTCGAAAAAGGACATAAATTTGTAATAAACTTTAAACTTTTGTCAACAAAACTTGGTGGAGAAAAATATGTTACATTACCACTAGTGATTGTATCATTCAATCTCTTGCTCGATAAAATTGAATCCATCGTAAAACAATTAGATGAGAAACCTAATCGATCTGAAGTAGATAAAAGGCTCATTCTTGGTTTTCAAGCAGCTCGAGACAAAATGCTTAAACATTATAAGAAGAGCAACTGGATTTATTGTATTTTCTTTAATTTTAGGCCCAAGGCATAAGGCTCAGACTTTTGACATGACGTTATGGGGAAAGCCAATTAAAACAGAAAGCCTGCGAAAATTTAATAAACTTTACAAAGAATATAAAACTCTATACCCAGTAAATAAATCTCTAGAATCATCAAGAAATGAAAAGAAAGTATCTGAATATAAAGAAGATGAAGACTTAATAGACTTTAAGAAACTGTATGAATGCTCCTCGACTTCATCTGGATCTTGTCAACAAGGCTTAGTTATTGACGAGTTGGAGTAGTACCTAAGTAAACCCAGAGCCGCTAACTCGGAAGACATTTTAGAGTGGTGGAGGATGCATGAGACAGAATATCCGACTTTATTGAAGATGGCCCGTGATTTTCTTTTAATACCGGCAACTTCAGTACCTGCTGAGAGATTATTTTCTAAAGCATCGTAAGTAATTAGAAAACATAGAAATAGGTTAGGTTAGGTGATGAGTCTATATAAAGTATCAGTAATGTAAAAGTCTATTGTGCACTGTGTTGTATTTTATTTTTTATTTAAATAAATGGCAAATTATATAACTATTTTATTCCATTTCATATAAGGTGAGGGTCCACCAATCCCTTTCTAGACAGATAATGTTCTTTAAAATACAGTCAAGTTTATGTCATTAATTTGGTTGTTTTGTTTTTTAACCATGTTTATGGATACGTAAGCTTGTTAAAAGCAAACGTTTATTAAGAAACAGATTAACTCACGTGAAACATGGTAGATAGCTCAGCTAGTTAGAGCATAGGCACGGATCGCTTAGATCGTGGGTTCAAACCCCACCCAGTGTCAGTTGTTTAGACATTCATTAATTTGGTTGGTCTTTTTACGGCTATGTTAATTCAAGCTTAAAATGTACCTACTGTGTTACGTTGTTCAACATCTAAAGTAACGTTTAATAAATAGCAATAGGCTAATAGGTATTTGCAAGACTTGCAAGACTCTTGCTTCAAGACCAAGACCAAGACCAAGACTGGGAGCGCAATACCAAGACCAAGACCAAGACCAGGTATATTGGTGCAAGACCAAGACCAAGACTGTCTAAGTCTCGTCTTGTTCTTGCATTTGGGCAACACTACTGGGTACAATAAATAAGAAAAATAATGAGTACACAGAAGAGATTAAGGAAAGAATAGGACAGGCAAGAAATTCTTTCAACAATTTCTTTAAAGATAAGACTTCTGAGATGCTACGTGTTCTCCGTATTATTTTATGGGTTGGAGGCTTGGACATTAAAGAAAAATGATTCGTACAGATTAGAAACCTTCGAGTTATGGGCCTACAGAAGTATATTAAGAATAAGTTGGGTGGAAAGAGTCACGAATGTCGAGGTGTTTGGAAGAATGGGCAAAGATAAAGAGATTTTAAATACAATTAAAGTCAGGAAACTGCAATATCTGGGACATATCATAAGGGGTGAGCATTATAATTTGTTGCAATTAATAATGCAAGGAAGAATACAGGGTAGAAGGAGTCGCAAAAGCAGACGCATCTGCTGGTTGAACAATTTGAGAGCTTGGTTTAACTGCATTTATGCTGACCTCTTTAGAGCAGCGGTATTGAAAGTACGAATTACCATGATGGTTGCCAACCTTCTTAGAGAAGATGGCACATAAGGAAAAAGAAGATATATATTAGTCCACAACCCTTGAAAACTTTGTCCAATATTTTCTTGCCAGCCCTTATTTTTTGCATGAACTCTGTTTCTATTAGTACGTTAGGCTGCTTTTCGTTGATTTCTCTGCAGAACCACAGTTTTGTATTTGTGTGAGCGGTAATATTGGTTTTTCTTTACCCTGTGATCTTCCACGGCTTTCGTGATACAGTTTTAGATTCTACTCCAGCAATTCTCTACTGATACTTAAGCAATTTTTTCTTTTAACTTGACTTTCTCTTTGAACTTTTTTATACAGTTCTTTTCTTTTCGTTGGTTGTGAATTTAAGATGCAATCTCAATATAAATATGCGTTTTGTAAATTCTATATATTACACAAAAAATATCTTAAGATTATACCCTACCTGTGTGCGTCCTCATATGCCTTTTGAGCAATGACGGTCTATCGAAAGCTTTACTACAGACACCACAAGGCAGAAGAGTCCTTTCCCGTGGCCTCGCCCTAGGTGTAGGTACTGCCGTTTCTGGTAGATCGCCTTGTGAACTAGCTGCAGAACTGTCTCCAGATACAGATTTCCGTTCGTCTTCAGCCGATGGTGGTGAACTCGCTAAAGCTCGAGAAAGAAGGGACATTGAAAGATCGAGGGGAGAATCTGCAAAAAAATATAAAGTTTTTATATTATAAAGAAAACCTAACAACTGCTTGTTACTATATATAAGATATGAAGATATTGACAACAACTTCATGGAATAATAATTGTCAACTTGTAGAGCGCAAATTTATGGTGCTATTTATCTTATTAGATATTAGAATTTATTAAATATTAGATATTCGAGTAGGGACCAATTCATCTGTTTAAACATAAGCTGAAACTTAAGATAAAAGATACCTAATTAAATGGCAAACATGATGTCCAGTTGGGATCTGTGTTATTTTGTTTATAACGACCGAATTTGAATATGTATCTAATGAAAAAGTTGTGGAAAATTTAGGAAAAATTTTGGGATCTTAGGATAAAATATATTTTATCTTATATATCTCATAAGAAAATATTCAGAATAAAATGGTTGCTACAATACTACTTTTGCAATTAGTAAAAATTACTAAAAAATGTGACATAATTATTTGTAAAATTTTTATTACTAAAATTTTATGAAAATTTGGTACTTCAAAACCATTGCATAAAGAAAAATGCGATACATTTACTTATTGGCGCATTTCACATGCTCATCAAACTAACCGAATTAAATTCTTCAAAATCAATTTCCAAACTATTTACAATAAAGAGCGAGCAATGTCCAAATCTAACAAACACTTTTTCAAGCAGCAAAACTTTCCAAATTCTCCGTATAAATAGGTACTCATTATATGTACTGCAGCCCACGGCCCTTTAGGAAGTTAACCAAATCCGCGGTTGTGTTCATCCTCCGCAGTACTTCTTCATTGGTGACTTTGTCTGTCCATGGTATCTTCAGGATCCTTCTGTATAACCATAGCTTAAAACCTTGAAATTTTGATAGAGTTTCCGCCTTTAATGTCCATGTTTTTACTCCGTATAGGAGCACTAAGTATAGGACATGGCTTTTGAACACAGAGCTCGTGGTCAAGAATGCAGTTTTTACCTTTTAGATGCGACATTTAATCTCTTGGGTATAGTAAAATTATTATACAAACAGAAAAACAACATTAAATTTTGCTGTACGTCATTGTTTTTAAAATATCTATAAATTTTATCTCTTAAATTTTCAGAATTTTAAAATTCTCATGTCCCATAAGCAAATTTCCAAAAAAAACGTTTTTTTTACTACTTTTTTTTGACTTTTTATACTCAGGCGCTGATTTTTTTTTACTTTTTATTCTTGTCTTTTTATTTTATACTTTATACTCAGGCGCTCATTTAACTTTTGAGAGAAAATGTAACTACCAATAATTTTATTTATATCTATTTTTATCTTAGATATGATGATTTCCGAGATATTTAGGATAAACGATTAAAAACGGGGGTTTGTAGCATCAATTTAAGTTTCAAAGATTTTGTTAATTTTCAGTTATTCAGCTTGAGTCATCGAGCAAAAAGACAGAAGCGGGAATGTAAAGATTGTGGGGGCAAATATATTATTAGACAGCAAGTACCATTTTAAGAGGATACATGAAACAAGGAAAGAGAGTCTCTTTTCTTGTTTACGAAATAAAATTTAGTTGGGTTATGTTATTGTTTGTCCCAACTGTTACATAAAAGCTTATTTATATTGAATTTTTTTTTAAATTGTTTCACATTTTATACTATTATCGTTATTACTTAATTAAAACTTTCTCGTCTAAGACACATTCTGAAAAATATTTTATAGCTACTGTTTTATGACCTTATAAACAAACCTGAAATATTTTCCTAATTAAAACAATCATTATATCAAAATTTTCAAACTTTGTACTAATTCCATTAGATAAATTAGAGCCTCCACACCACTGTATAATTATTGTGAAGTGTCGTAAAATTTAAATTTGGTACCTTTGCATTTCCGGATATGTGCGCCATATTAAGAGGTCATTTTTATAAATTTTGGTCTTCTTTTCATAACGATTAGATTCCTTCTTTTGTCTTTTTTCGCGATGGTTTGAATATACCCAAATTCTACTTATAAACAACTCTCTTGAGACATTTCTACAAAAATCTAAATCCCGACTCACTATATCCAGCTTAAGCTATTTTTATAAAGATTTCGACTGGACTAGTAACATATTTTAAGATCCAAATTCATCAAAATGAGAAAGCTTTTAAGCAACCGCAATCTAAGCATTAACCTCCGATGGCGCGCCACGAAACGCTACGTACTCTCTACGCTACTTTACGGCGTAGAAGGGTGGACGTTAACAGCAGCAACTATAAAGAAGTTAGCGGCTCTAGAAATATGGCTGTATCGACGCATACTGAGAATACCTTGGACAGACAGAGTGACCAACACAGAGGTATTAAGAAGAATGGGTAAAGAGGTGGAATTGGTAACAACTGTTAAAAGGAGGAAAGCGTCATACCTGGGCCATGTGTTCCGTAATGATAAGTACAGTCTACTACAGCTTATCGTGGAAGGCAAGATTGAAGGTAGAAGAGGTTTGGGCAGAAAGAAGAAATCCTGGCTGAGAAACTTGAGAGAATGGTTTCAAATACCAGAAGCTGCGAACATAATTCATGCGGCACGAAACAGAGAAACCTATCGTATGATGGTCGCCAACCTTCGGTAGAAGACGGCACATAAAGAAGAAGAAGTAACATATTAGAAATAATAAAGTCTTATTACACCATTCTTCAAGCACTAGGATCAAACCATTCCTAAAAAAAAGAACATACACTGTAATCTGAAGAAGGCGTGGGACACACGTGGAATAAGGCAATAAGATACATCACCGAAATTATTTATAACGGCATTAGAGTATGCCTTTAAGATGGTCAATTGGGACCACAGAGGAGTAACAATAAAAGTCAAAAAACTTAACCATCTCCGTTTCGCAGATGACATTGTCCTTATCACAGATAATTTAGGAGAAGCCACAGATATGTTAAATGAATTGGACTTTGCATGTTCGAAGGTGGGCCTCAGAATAAACTTATCCAAAACTAAGTTTATGACAAATATGGTCCCTAATATTAATTTAACTATTTAAAACAAAGCGGTAGAACTGGTGGACAAATATACGTATTTGGGCTACAAAATAAGAATCAGCAGGAATAACTAAACATGCAAAATTCAAAGATGAATTGCGTTAAGGTAAGCAGATTTTGGAAAACTGCAAGAAGCACTTATAACCAACATACCAATTAGCTTTTAAAGAAAAGTATTTAATTGATATAAGGTTGAATGCTCGAGTAAATGAACTTTGAAAAATAAGGCCATTTTCGAGCACAAGTTTAATTAAATCTTGCCCAAGTACTTTCGCTAATAATGGTTATGATCCCAACATTATCCATAAGCTTCTAAATAGAGCTAAACTCAAAATTACAGAAAAGCTTGCATATTCATCACAATGTCTTCTTCAACCTAATGCTTCTAACAACATCAAATATTTCTCTTTTACTTATATTTCCAATAAAATAGCTAAACTTTTTTACTTCTGCAGTTGAAAACATCAAAATTTCCTTTAAGTCACACAACACTGTAGGTTTCTTTTTAATTAACACCAAAGATAGGCTGAACACACTTGACAAAAGTGGTATTTACAAATTAAAGTGTTACGATTGTGATGCCTCTTATGCAGGCAGAACCATTAGAAAGCTATCTACCAGAATTTCAGAACCTTTGAAAAGACCAAACTCTTCAAGTTTTGGTCAACATTTACAGTCTAGTAAACACAATTTCAACATCAATACTGGTTCGTCTATTTTGCATGACATCAGTAGAAAGAAAAACTATTTGGAGTTGGATTAATTGGAAGATTTGAAGATCACAAAGGAAACGAATGGAAACTCTCACTGTCTTAACACCCAAATTAATTTAAACTGTACTAAATTTAAACCTATTTTTAAAAACTTTATTGCAGCTTCACCTTGTAGTGGTCCCAGATCGGCTATTTAGACTTCCTGCAATTCTTTAACTATTCCACAAGTTCATTCATACATTCTTTAACAATTTACACAACTAGCTTGCTCAAGTTCAATTGATCCACAGTTGGAGTTCATTTCACTCTTCATACTTCTGCATAATCTACATATACCAATTCCACAGTTTTATATTTCAACACCTGCCACTGTTGGTCAGTTGGTCTTTGGTAACGCTATTACATATTAGTTTTACAGTTCTCCCATTGGCTTGAGGTTTAACTGAACTACTTAAACCATACCCCATTTATACACTGCTTTCAATTTTAATTTAATTTTTAATATTTCAATTTCAAAGTCAATTTTCTTCTCGTTTTACAGTATTGACAGTGCCTGGTAGACCATTTTATTGTAGTCAACCACCCACTGTCCAATAGATCGTTTGGTCTATTTCTTTCATCCACACTTTATGTACACTTCATTTAGCCTCAAACCTACAACCTTATCATTACAGACCGGTGTGAGTGTGAGATCTGAATTATGCAATCTAGTTTAAATCAAAATATTCTATATGCCATATTTCATAAGCTGATTTTCTATAGTAGTTTTAGTTGGACCTTTGGCCAATGTCAACCTATACAGAATTTTAATATGTGCTGATCACAGATCCATTACTGTGACTGCCTATCAAAGCTGTCATATGTCACATGTCAACTTATCATTTCCGCTTAGATCATTCTCCCTTCTGATACTGACAAAGAATGTAGTGCGTAGAATCTTTTAAGTAATTTTAAACTGTTTGTCCTTGTTTTAGTGTAGTGTTTTGTACAATTTTATGTTATTACTCATGTTTTTCACATTCTACGCTTGCTGGATAGCTCATATTTGACGAAGTAAGTCTAAAACGTTAATCACAAAAAACTTTTTTCATCCATTAACTTCGAGTTTTTTATCGAAGTTAACTAATTTCCTTCATCTAAAAAACGTTTTCTTGGCTTATTTCAGATGCTTCTGAAGATGCTATTTTAAGTGAAAGTACTTGTGCAAGATTTAATTAAACTTGTGCTCGATAATAGCCTTATTTTTCAAAGAAAAGTATTTGACCAATGCGTATTACCGGT